TATTATAGTGGACAGCACTGTCATGAGGACAAGGACTCGATCCATGTTAATATATGCCTTCCATACCTTTTGACAGCTACTAGAATGGGGCAGATGTTGAGAGAAAATATATGCACAAAATTGTGAGCAGGTTTATTACGTTATTCAGGCCCATTGCTAACAGGAACCCTTATTAAAAGAAAAATTAATGAGCTAGTGACTGAGTCAGCATCAATCTTCCCCATTCCTATAGCATTCATACAAATTATAAGGAATTTGGACTAGAAATAACTCCCAGAGCCAGAAATGGATACTGTACTGTTTAAAGGGATGTTTCATCCAAACAAACTGTTTTAATCAAGGTGTAAGCTATTGCCTTTGTGAAATCCAGTGTAAACCTTAGGGCATCTTCCCTGCTGGTTAATATGAATTATAGCTCTGCATGGCCACCTTCTGAGAACAACAAATAGGGAAATATACAACCAGAGTCCCTTTGATTTTAAGGGCTTCAATACTGAAGGAGAATAATGAGATGCTATTTCTATACATGGCTGTCTCCTTACATGCAGTTAGTTGCCTGTTATTCTGCTTCTCAAAAAACTATCACAGTCAGTGTCATAGCATGCCAACCTATCAGTAACTTAGAGTGTCACATATTCCACTGATTAATGTAGATTGAGAACTACATCCAATGAAAGAGCAGATTATTAAGTAGCTGTCTATATATGGAGAGAGCAGGAAGAGACATCAGACATTTCCCTGCTTGCAGGAATTAGGGTGGGGGGTTGGGGAGGGTGATAGGTAAAGATGGGTAGAAAATGGGCTTCCCATGAAGAATTTCAAGATGGGTCTTGGGGATAGAGACACTCACACTCCCAGAATATCCAACAGTCTCAAAGGCTATCTATAATATGGAATAGGAGGCAATGGAAACAGAGAGTTTGTACATGCTGCAGTGGTAATGTATCCTGTCACAGAGGCAAAGAGTACCTCACTTCTACTGGACCACAGGTGTGACAGGCTGGCTGGTAGTGACTTAACCCAGGGGTTTTGAGAGGGTAAAAGATGACTGGAGGACTTGGGATTCCCTTTCCTCACCAATCTGGTAATGATTTGGCCCAGGGGTTTTGAAGGGGTAAAAGATGATTGGAGGACTTGGGACTCCCTTTCCTCACCAATCAGACCCCAGAGACTCACCCTCCATGTCCCCTGATTGGCCCCTTGGGTCACCTGGGGGGGATAAAAGGGGCAGCATGGCTGACTCAGGGGAGACCAGCGAGGGACCACAAGGAAGGAGTCTCAAAGAGTTGGCAAGGGCTGGGCCAGTGGGGTGGGAGCAGTTGCCCCAGAAGCATCTGAAGGAGTGGGACCTGCAGGCAGCAGCTGGACCCTCAGCAGCGCGGCATGTGGCCGGCAGGAGAGGCTCCCCACTGGGCTCCAGGATCCCCTACGAGAGGCTGCGGCCAGCAGGAGAGGCTCCCCAGTTCCAGCAAGGATCTGAGCAGCAACCTGAGAGGCTCCCAGCTCTGCTTCCAGCTCCGCCAGTAAGAGGGCAGGCAGCTCGATACGAGGCCGGGGCTCCTGGAGGGCAAAGACCCCTAACAGCTTGGCATAGTACCAGCACTGGTAGTTGTCTAGTAGAGGTTTCTACCTACCATGTGGGAAATCTGAGATCAAGTCCCAGTTGGGATGACTTAGGGTGAGTGAAGTAACATGGAGAAATTCTTGTTGTGGTGGAAAGGGGTCATTGTGTTTTCCTCCTTTCTCCTCCCTCCAGGTACCTAGGCCCCATATTCCTTGTTATTTGATGTTTTGTATTTTGTGCCTTTTATATTTCACCACCCAGTATTGTTTGTTCTGCTGTTTGTGTTTTATATTTTGGTTAACCCTGTCTTTTGTCAACTGGATGAATACGTCTATGATTGTACGTGTCTAACCTTTGTTGAATCCTGCCCCTTCGGGGCATTGTAGTGTCCCCTATACCCCCTGGTTTATACTGGTTATGTTCCCAGTACTGTTCTTTCATTTAAAAGGTATATGGTTAAGTCCCCATTGGTGATCTGGCTCTGCTCTATAGGGGGAGGAGAGTCCCTTGAATGAAAAAAAAAAAAAATCTAGAAGCTCACAAATGATCACAGAACACAAATGCATTCTCCCAGTCAGCTCTAGGTATGTCCAGACAGAGAGGAAAATGCCATGGAGCTGAGTGTCAGACCTTGTTTTACTGAGACAACTGAATCCGGTGTCAGTCATGTCTTGGTTTCTATGCTTGTACAAGATCATACATAGTAGTAAGAATCCTCTGCTTGCCTCCCTTCATTGGTCTCATCATCTCTGAGTCCACGCAAATAGGAGTCACCTGCTTTTGAGTCTGCACCAGGCACTGATGGATGTGGAGGGAGTAGAAGATGGTGGGACCTTCATACTAGCTCCGTACCCTAAATGCAGTCCCATGGCAGAAAGAGAAAGGTGTCATATTAGTTGCTAGTAGCAGTCAGTAGGACATCATGGTCCTCTTGGGTCAAGTGCAGAACATGGAGGAGCGCAGAGCATCCAAACTACAGTGGTTTCCCTGGGATGCTCTAATGTGGCACCATAATGTCCATCCCCCTTCCTAACCATCACCAGTGGTACAGTCTTGTTGAAGTGTTCAGAAGTATATTTAGCACTGAGAGTCATTAGGAAATAGTGGTGAATTTTGTCAGGACAAAAGGCTAAACTCTGTTTAATTCAGAGGCTTACATCCAAAAATGGATAGTTCTGAACCAGGCACATGGAAGATAACAAATCCAAATAGAAGAAGCCAAATTCACCAATGGTCTAAGTTGGCACAGCTGCCAGGGAAGCTGAGTTTACAGTGCATTTCAGTAATAAACTATGCCCAATATATGTCGTGAAAGGAAAGTGCTACCCAGATGCTTGTCCTCCTAAAGATAACACAGCAGGGATAAGGATGATATTTTCTGTCCTCCAAAATCCGTTGGTAAGAGGCGCCAGAGTCAGTTGTAAAAGGAGGTTCTGAGTTATATCAGCATGCTGCTACAGAGACAAGGAGAACAGCAAGACAGCTTAGAGAACCATTAGCCTCAGTCCTGAAATTGTATATTAAAACATATTAAATCCCCCCAAACTAACAATCCCCAGAAAGCACAGCATCCCTTGGCAGCTCTCTGGATCAAAAACCTCTATTATATGGGGAAACTGGCCTGCAGAACTATCTCAGTACAATAATATCACTAGAGTTGATCCCCATGTAGACTCTTATTCTGAAATAAGTGCCTTTCCAGATCATTTTGTGTTTCTTTCTAAATTTCCTTGTGCAGGCAAGCTTTTAGTAGAGATTTGCCCCTGGATATTTTTTCGAACTTGGCAAGGATCAGAGAAGGACTGTACTCTGAAACTCCACCGGCACTGAGATTGGCAGGCATTCACCTCTGTAAACCCAAAGAGAATTCAGCAACTGTGAGTGTGACTTAGGAGACCCTTAGAATTTGCTTCTGTAAGTTGAAGTCAATGGGAAAATTTCTACTAATTTTAATGGAGGGGGTGAATTCTACAGCAGTGTGTGGTCTATTTAAACTTCCTTAAACCACCCTGAGTTTAGGAGGCTCTGATGGACACCTCCGTAGGACATGTTCCCAAAGCAGAAAATAATGCATTTACAATTAGAGTTTGTGGGAACAAAACATTCAAAAAGGTAGAAACTTATATCCAGAAGCATGCGATTTAGTCACATAGGCTCAGCCATTCCGGCTGAGGTCCCTATTAGTGTAACAGCAAGGCTCATTCACTCTCACCCCTGACATCCCTACCTCCCAACTTCTCTTTAGGTGTCAGCACCTGGGTACGTAACATAAATACAAATGTTATGATCACTCATAAATTTACCCAACTTCTCTTTATATCCAGCCACAGGCATTGACCTTCTGCCCTCCTGTGACAAGGAATTCCATGGGCTGACTTTATGCTTTTATTGCTCTAAATTCAACCTGCCATTAATTCCCCAGTGGCCTCTTGTTCATGCCTTTCAGGGCACTACAGAAATGAAGTGCTAATCAGTTTTCAGTCCTCCCTCATAATCCTCGATACCCGAGTAACCCCCCACCTCCACTTCTCGCCCCCTGCTCGTACCCAACCCCCTGCAGATCTTTTCTTTTCTAGGCTAAATTCTACTAAAGCTTAATAACCCTGCAACTCTCATTACTGCATTTGGAAGGGGAAATACACAGCACCTAAAAGGATGAAACCCTCATCCTTAGTGTCTCTTATTATTTGCCAGCCCTGACATGTTCCTCTCTAATTTACCATCCCCTGAAGAAAGTCTGCCATAACTGGGCTGTGGCCAATTCCCATTTAAGTCAACAGGAGCTGCACACAGGCAAAATCTGACAATAACATACTTCAAAATGTTTCCCTGCCTTCTGGAATTGAATGTAACTATTACTCTGCTTGCATAGCTACTACCTGCTGGGGAGTGACAGCCTGATGCACTTCTTATTCACGCTAGCTCACATGAGGCCAGGATCAGCCCCTAATCCATTGATGTCATGGCTCATTGGCCAATATCATTAAAAGCTTGCCATTTTAGCCTACCCTATTGTGTTCACTGGGGCTACTCATGGAATAAGGGAAAACTCCACATAACTAAGAGTCTCAGGATCTGTGCCCACCTGCTATTTTACAATTTTACAGAGCATCTGCAGCGATTATGAGACCAGTCTTGCAAAGCTTGCTTATGAGACGCATGCTGCTGATACCAACGGGTCTATCCAGAACTGTTCACACGGATTAATGGCAGACAACTACACCTTCTAATTGCAAACTGAATGAGAGTCATCTGCTCACTGAATATCAATGTGCAAGGTATTGTGCGTCTCCTGCAAAGCACTGACTACCCTCATCTCCAGATGAAGCCAGCAGCAGTCCCAGGAGCTCAGGGCCTCGCAGGATTGGGCTCCAGGCAAAATAAAATGAAAATAACACAATTACACAGGGTTTCTCAGCTCAGGGAAAGAACTCACCTGTCTAGAAAGAGCCAGCAGGGAAACAGTATCATGACAGACTACTGTGGCATTTCTCCTAGCACCAGTCAAGATGGCAACATCCTAGGAAGAAGTTAAGCAATAGATGTGAATTATTAAAGAGGTTGTCTATAAAACTGCCTTTGAAAAATATAAGCTAAAATAAAGGAATATTGCTATCTATATATTAATGGAATAAATCACAACTAACAGCCAAGTCAGAGCTGCAGGGTGTCAGTAAACGGGAATCTCTATAATATAAGAAGCAAACAGCCTGGAACTGTATGAGAGAAATAATAATATAATACATGTGCTGAACCCAGAGGGGTCTCCTCTGAGAGTGAAGTTTACTCTTCCGAGGTGAGAGCACGTTGTCTTCAGGTCTCTGGTAGGAGTATTTTGGATTAAATACTTGGTGAAGGTCCAGTTTGGCACACTTGGAGTCTTAGCAATATCAGGTTAAGGGCTGCATCAAATTCTCCATTTTAAGGGGTGTGTTTAATGAAAAGAGCTCCCACTTTGGAGAATTCAGGCCCAAAATTCAATTCCCAAATATTACCACCAATATTTGGGGGTTGAAACTACTTTCTACAACCCTCACAGTGCAGAAAGCATTATAAAAAGCTTCCTGCCCCAGCAGTGATGCTATGTAAACCAATAAGCAATGCTCTGCCTGCTTTTATGCCCAAATTTTGCTGGGCCTCTGCGTAATATTTCTAAACGGATTACCAAAGGTCCTGTAAATTCTCCACTGCCTGGAATCTTTAATGAAGATCGAATGATTTGCTAAATGATATGCTTCAGTTCAACCACACGTTGTCAAGCTACATGTAGAAATCACTGGATGAAATTCTGCAGATGGTGTTATGCAGGAGGTCAGACAAGATAATTATAATGGCCCCTTCTGGCATGAATCTATAAAGCTTCCTAGCATTAAGCCTCCAGGCTTTATCTTTCCTCATGACCACAAGGGAAACAGAAGCATTTTTTCTTGTTTGTTATTTATATAGCACCAAAGAGAGAAGGACCGCACTGTCACACATTATCCTAACCACTCCACAACACAGGCAGGAACAAGATAAGGAATAAGACTGACTGGGCTGCCCCAAACAGTGGTGAAAAAGAATAGAGGCGTGAAAAGGCAATATGGGATAGAGAATAGAGTATGGGCCTGGGGCTCAGAAGACCTGGTTTCTATTCCCAGATCAGCTTCTGGCTGCCCCACTCCAGTGAAAACCTGGAAATTGGATTTGCTTGGTTTTACAGGAGAGTGAGCAAAATTATCAATAATCATTTGAAAATTTTTCCACTGAGACTATTCCATCAGAAAATGCTGACTCCATGAAATTGAAAAATGTTTCATGGGTGCATATAGGTTTAATCAATTTTTAGGAGGAACTAACTGAAATGCTTCAACAAGTTTAAAAAAAGGGTTTTTTCCAACATTATTTTGTCTATCATTTTGATTAAATTATTATATAAATAATAACATAATAGTTGAAATAATGGAACGTGATAAACTTCAGAATATGTTTTGTTAACATTTCTAGGTTTGTTTGAATTTTCAGCCTATTTGGGGGTGAAATGATATATCCAGTCCCTAGAATTTCGTCAGCCATCTTGTATGATATTTTATTATATATTGCCATGGACTGTGAATCCAGCAAACTACAACTGATGAAGGGGAATAAAAACTTCCTGATTTCAGTATTAAAGCTGCTCACAAAATAGATTATTTTTCCTTCCCAGGGCAAAAATTTACAAAAATTAAAAACGTCAACCCATTCCAAAAATTAAAACCAACATTGTTCCAGCCATCTAATACTGAAAAGTTTGGTTAGAAAAAAAACCCCAAAAGTATTCAATGGTGCAGTTTCCTACAAACAATTGCAAAAAATCCAAGGAAGGTAAATACAAAAAAAACATAATTTATGTTTGGTGGAAAATTTTCGGCCACCTCTATTCAGCACGCTGAATGCATCTCTTTTTTTAATATACAGAGTATATCTAGGGTGGAACGGTTTGGGTTGATTTCTGGAGGTTTTCTCCCTTGCTCTAGGAGGGTATTAACCTTAATGGGATTTGCAAAAGCATCTTAATGAAACATATAGATAGGTATTTTCACAGGGCAAGTCTAGAGAGACTTCTAGAAGTTGGTAATGCAGATATACATTTCATTTTTTTTGTCTGATATGAAGCTATCTGCAGTCGGTCAGACTCTCCCTGAGTCTCTATCAGATCCTGTGGCAAGCAAGTTTCTTTGGGTAGATGTGATATCTTTTCTTAGACCAACTGAGTAGTTGGAAAAAAGTTCTTAGCAAGCTTTCAGGCGCAATCACCCTTCTTCAGGCATAGGGAGTCTCTGCTGTTCTGAGACTCCAAGGAATGAGAGAAGCTAAAAGTATAACAGGACAGCAGTGAGATATGAGATCCTGCAACATTTGGTAAAAAAAAAAAACATGAAAGAGAGTATTGAGGTACCCCAAAGTATTTCCCTTTCTTCAGAAAAGCAACCGTTCTGGCATAAAGCTCTCCAGTCTGTTGGTTGAGAGCCACCTTAGTGACCACAGCAGTGCCTGAGAGAATCAAATAGAAATTCTGCGGAATGTGGCCTTGCCTGATGATCACTCTTCCTGGCCCAAAACTGAGGAAGAAAAAAGAAAAAAAAACAGAAAAGATTTTAAAATAAGGGGAAAATTCTTGAATTTTTATCCAAACAAAACTCTCTCTCTCATTTCTTAAAAAAACGTAGGCTAAGAATGGCAGGATAACCGCAGTTGTATTGTTTTGGTGACATCTTGAGGTACTTTCAGATGTCTCCCATACCATTACAATACAATAATTACTGAAACTAGTAATTACGTTGCTTCCTAATTCAGAATAGCATTGTTAAAGAAAGCAAAAGGAGATAAAATGCAGAAATTGAGTGGGAACTGAAGGTCCTCGTATTAAAAATATCTCCTATATCTGATTTTTAAAAATTACATAAGGCAAAATTTTGGAGGTATTTGGGCATCTCAACCTCACACATGTAGCAGCCCAGATACCTGACAGCTTTATAGACAACTGTTTTGAGCTGGTGGCCAGGAAGCCTGGCACGTGCCTGCGATGGAGGTAGGTGTTGCAGGGAAACCAGGTGGGAGTTGGGAGCAGATGCAGCCCCAACCCAGCCCGGGCTGAGCCAATCAGAGCAGCTCACTCCATGGGGCAGGAAAAGTAGTGCTGGGTGCTGCAAGCTCCCTTCAGGTAGTCCGCAGAAAGGTTGTGGAACAATCAAGAATATCTGTACGTGTAAGGTAAGACTACTGATATTCAATATGAATGGTGTGCTTTGATTTGTAGAACAAAAAAAAGTTTAAGTGGTCCACCGAGACCCTCAGCAATTTTCAAGTGGCCTGTGAAAAAAAAGTTTGAGAAGCCAAAATATATAATCATTATGAAACACCAGAAGTTTTTTCTGAGAAAGAAATCCAGATCAGGCTCGCTGTTATCCTTTTTAACAAATGTCCTTCAAATCTGTCTTTACTTTCATAATTCTTCTAAATTTGTTCCGTTATGTACTTCACAGAGTAAAATACAAATCCATCCCCTTATCAGATTCCATTTTGCTCTATGTAAGGCAATTATAAAATAAATATGTATTAAAGAGCAATAAAACCTTTCTGCTTCTTTTACTAGACTCATTTGAAATATACAAATAAAGCTATTACACCATATATAAATATTGATCTACACTCAAACCTCCAGGATGGCTTAGAAGAGTCTGAAATTTTGTGTTTCAAAAACACCCAGAAGAATGTATATATTTGGTTAAAATATGATCTTGTTTATAAATTTTTCATTTAGAATATGTTCTAGTCTAAGCTGATTTCCCGTGAAGTTGCAAAAAATGTGAGTTTCTATATCAAAGGCATCCTCTTCCCTGTGAAAGGAAATATTTACATTCCAGTTAAATGCACAATATGCTGCCAGGTGACATGCTTTTGTAAACACTTAATTCTAAATCCCAGATCCACTTCCCTGAAGCCTTCTAGTTCTCACTAGAATTGTAATTTGGGTTATCTCCATCATACTAGGAAGAGGGTCATTGCCTTTGATCATGAGGAAAAGATTATAAGAATGATTGTCACAGTTTTATCACCCTGGCTAACCTTGTGGACCCTATAGCAAGCCCCTCCAGCATAAAGCAACCTATTAGTTGTGGCAGGGAATTAATAGACGTATGTGTGCACATATGTAATGGATTAATATATGTAAGGATCCACATACAAAGGTAACCAATTTTCTTAGAGACATATCCCAAAAACAAATTAAACAACATAACGGTTGCTGTTTCAACATCTACCTTTTAGATGCTTAATTCCTGGATTGAAATCCAGAGTCCTGTGGGAGGAACCCGGGCTCCTTATCCAGTGCATGAGGAGAATTTGGCTCCTCAGAACCATTAGCATGATCTTCAGGAAGACACATGGAGCAAGATAATAGGGAAATACTGCAGAAAAGGACTGGATGACCAAAGTTCAATTCGCCCCTCTGCTTGAGTGGATTCCAACTACCATTCCACTAGGAAGTATCCTAACCAGCAGGCTTGGTTGACTCTGGGGTAAAGACTGTCCTCCTTCTGAAGCTGTTCACTTATGCAGAAAAGAATTCATAAGGGCCTGAGCAGCCTGAACTGCTGGTGCTGCTTCTGGTAAGCTGCAGGCAGTGCAGGAGGCTGAAGCCAGGCAGGAGAGTGATGGCGGGGGAAGGAGCTGAGCAGAGAAAAGATAAGGAGCCTGCAGCCAACCAGGGGAATCCCTGAATTGTCTCCAGCCTCCTGGTTGCTACCCTGCTCATCTCCTGCCTCCTGCTCATTCTCCTACTCATCGCTAGCCTCTGGAGGACTAGAGAGAGAGCAGGAGAATGAGCAGGGGGCTGGAGGCAAGCCGGAGGCTGAAGACAAGTCCCTGAACATGAGTTGGAGATGTTCCCCTTCTGTCTCCAGCTTCCTGCTCATTCTCCTGCTCATTTCTCTGCTCGTCTCCAGCCTCCTGAGGCTGGAGACGAGCAGGGGAATGAGCAAGGAGCTAGAGATGAGCAGGGGAATGTTTCCAGCTCATCTCAGTGGCTTGTCTCCAGTCTCCTGCTCATTCTCCTGCTTGCCGCCAGCCTCCAGAGGCTAGAGACAAGCAAGGGAATGAGCAGGGGGATGAAGATGAGCAGAACAAGGAGGGGGCTGGAGACTGGGAGGCAGGCTTAGGAGGGACTGTAGCCCCTGGGGGCACTGAGACCCTGCAAGCAGGGCAGTCCATGTGCTGTGTTGGGGGGGGTCTTCCCTGTGGGGGGGGCAGGGGACCCACCCCCCAAGCAGCCCCCACACCCACAGTCCCCCCACACCTATCCACACACTGAACCACATCCACCTCACATACCCGCTCACCTGCTAATGCACAGTAGCAAAGGCAAACTTTTTTATGACAATGTGCAGACCTGCATCCTCCACATCCCTCCACATACACACACCCACATCCCCTCACCCCCCTTCTGCAAACCCCACATCCCCCATCACACACACCATGTAATAAGGAAACCAGAAGCAAATATTAAAACCTATAGACATTTAGGATTTATTTTATTATGATGCTAGATACGCTGGTAGGCTTCCAAATTGCTTTAACATTGTAAATATAGCAATGAAACATTGCCCATCTGATCAATCCCTCTCTCTCTCTCTTTTGTTCTAATTATGGAAGAATGTGGATTTTGGGGTATTTTAAAAAGTGAATTTGGGATGCTGCTTCAGCGGTCTAGCTGACACAAGGGGCTAGTGTCCCCAGATACCAAGTGGCTGGGCCTCAGAAGCTACTGAGGGCAAGTAGCCCTGAGCTGCTGAAGCCAGCACAGGTGCTAGCCCCAGGCTCTAGCTCCCCCTGGCTGCAGATCTGGGAGGAGCCAGGCAGAGTTATTTTGCCCCAAGTGGCACAATTTGCTCCACAACAAAGTGCATGTCTGGGCATGTGCACTGAGGCAAAAAGCACCAGCTCAAATTTGTACTGCTTCTATTTGAGCAGCTGCAAGCACACATGCTTGCATGTGTGGACATACCCTTCTTGTTTCTGTTCTCTCTCTGGCCCAACAAATCTTAACTTTTTCTCTGCAAAGACAACCACTTCAGCTAGAGAGGATGAAAGTATCCCCCACCCCGAGTCATTGGTAGTCTGATTGTTAAGAGAATCTCCAGAGAAGTAAGCTTATATCCTGTCAAACAGAAGAGAGAATTGGACTTAATCATTCTGCTTCCTAGACAAATACACTAACCACTCAGGTATCATAGGGCCCTGTAAGAATATGCTAGGTATTCTCTGAGTGCTTACTATACTAAGCCCCTCAGCTGTCTTTGACAGAGGAACATCCACCTTCTGAATCCCAGTTAGGTTGTGAGTATAGAAAGTCAAAAAGCCTGAGACTGAATTAATTCAATCTTCCCAGGTTAGGCTAAACTACATAGATTGAACCAATATGCAAGTAAATTGACATTCACTTTTGATTCTGGCCTGGGCCATACATGCTTGTAGTGTGCTAGAGCATGCCTTCCTGCTCAGCTGAAGCAGATAGCTTGGGCCAAGGCTAGCCAGCCCGCCCTGTGAGGTGGGGTTTGCAGGGAAGGTGCAAAGCATGCTGGGATGCTGAAGGACTGAGAGTTAATTTGTATCTGGAGTGGGGAGCTGGGTCAGAAGTTTAATAAAGCAATTTAACCTAAATCAATTAAGTTTGATACTACATCCAGTCAGGTTTCTCTTAAACTGTTTTAAGCTATTTTGAAAGTGGTTTATGCGTGCTGAACTTCTGATGTTTCAGATTTGAACCAGTTTCCAATCACTTATATCAGTTTATGTGTAATTTCTGTCCCTAGCCTTGGGGAACTTTAAGGTCAAAAACTGAGAACTCAGATGCCTACATGGCTAGGTAACACCTCCCCAAGAATAGATGGGATTATACTTTTGGATTAAGGTGCCTTAATTCTATCTAAATAATATTTTAGGTAGAAATATATGGCATATAAAGTGTGTGTGTATAGAGACATATGTGTATACATATTTATCAGTATGTGTATATATAAAATAAGATTTGTGTGTGATTTTTAATCCTTATCCTACAGACAGGATAGGATACAGAAGGGTCAACTAATTATCCCTTCTGGCCTTAAAGTCTATGCAATGATGTAATTTTAAACATGATACACCTTAAAATAGGTCTTGCAAGCTGAAAAAGCCTTGTGCTGCCTAACTGCATGGGTGGGACAATTAATAGCCCCATTAATATGATGGGAGCTTTGCCATTGACTTCAGTGTAACCAGGACTTAACCCAATGGTGAGTTTTATCCTCTGTGAACACATGAGCTACATGTGCTGCTTGAATGTAACTACAATATGCAAGGAATTTTCCCGGAAGAACTACACGGTAGCTCTTGGCCCCCAGTAATGAAAAGACTTTCTATATGCTTACCTTTGAGTGTGTGCATAGTGCCATTAATTTGAAAGAAGCCCTAGAGGAGAGATTTGGAGGTCAGGACTTCTGAGTTCTCTATTCCCATTTCTGCTCCATACTAGCAGTGAGGGCTTTATTTCGTTCCTTAGCACAAGGGGTTGCATTTTCAAAAACTTGGAAAAATCTGTTACGTGTATGCAGGCACATGCTTCAGTAGATATTTTTTAAGACTTGTGGAGAGGTGTCTAAATATTGGAAAGAAGAATTGAGTCCTTGGATATCAAACTTGTAGATATAAAGTTTAATTTCCTCTGTAGTCTGTTTTTCATTTTTCTCATCTTTCCTTGTAGGTATTCATCACTAGCCTTATTTTAGTTATCACTCATGGTCCTTTATTACAAGACTTTGGTACATCTGGAAGTGAACTTACTTTCTTTGGAACTCAGTTACTGGAAGTTATAAAATCATATGCTTGCATCAGACTCATGAGATTAATAATTTCAAAAACACCTAAGTGATTTAATAATCTGATTCCCATTTTTTTTAAGTGCTTTAGATGGTAATGACTAAATCCAAAAAATAATTTAGGTGTCAAAATATTTAGCATTGCCTTATCATTGTAGGGTGATCTACAGCTCTGATTTAGGAGCCTCCACTCCTGATAAAATCCATACCTCAATTAATTCAGTAACAGTTTTGGCATTGACTTGAATGGGACCAGGACTGGAGCCAGTAGTGAATTTCAACCTCTGTGAACAGATGAGTCAAATATTTTGGGCAAAAGTATCCACAGTGTGCAGAGAATTTCCCCACTAGATTAATATAATGGTCACAATAAGACTTATGATAAGATTGTCTTACATGGGAATAAGTTAGTTGCCCAAGAACGGCATTCACAGTAGTCAGCATGGTAAGTGGTAATCTGCATCAAGAGGTCAATACAAAATGCTTATGAAATCCCACTCTTCCTTAGGACTATGGGAAGGTGCCACTATCAACTTGGATTTGATGGTTTGAACCCTGTCTTGAAGACAGATGCCTAACTGATCTCTTTCAAGATACAACGAGCATTCAGTCTTGCATACGCTAGTTTTATAGTCCATTGATTTCCATAAGGTGAGACTCGATATATGTGATACATGAGTGAGAAGAACTATACCCAGTGACTTGGCCCAATTTTGCTATCTGTTGCACTTGAGTAATTCCATTCGAACATGGATAAAATAGAGATAAGAAGCTGGCTCAGTACGTAAACAGTCACTGCTTGATTTTTAGTTTAAAATCTTAATAAAAATAACAGCACCAAGCAATAAATAGGCAAACTATATGTGTTATATATACACACACACACACAAATCCAGTAAAATGGATTACCGAATGTTTCAACATCTCTTTAGTCTCTCTAGTGTTAAAAATTCTGAAGGTATGTAGTTATGTGTTGATGTATTTGTTAGCTTACATGAACCGAGATATATAGATCTAATATTTCACTTCGCAGAAACAGTTTATTTCCGGCAGTAAATATGATGTTTGTGAAATGAGAATAGGCTATTTTGAACAGTTATAAACCTGCTGAATAATTGAATTATTACTCATTGGAGGGCAGAATAATTTGTTACCTGTAAGATTCCAGCACTCTGAATCAAAGTAATTACATTCACACTGTCACTTAGTGAAATTATGGCACAAAGCATTATATGAAGAGAAGGCAATTGCTGAAAAGATTTTGTTGAAATAATAGCACCAGTTCGGTACTTCTCTCGCTTCATTCATTGTTACTTTATTATATGGCTAAATAGCTCATTCAACTCTGCTTCACTGGAGTGACAAATAAGAGTGTTAAAAACTGTATCTATGAAGGAAAGGCCACACAACATTTAATGAAAAAAATATTAACTAGTCATTTTTAGGCTCATAAATGTGAAGATGACAAAGGGATGACAAATTTAATTATGAAATAAAAAAGTGAAAGACTTAATTATCCCTTAAAGATTTAGAGGAAACTCTCCACTGGAGGTTTTCCATGTCTTGGGTTTTTTTTTGGTTTTTTGGGGGGGTTTTTTGTTAAGAAAAATGAATCCCGACTGGGAATGGGTTCCAAAACTACAGCACTTCTGTATTCCAGACAGTGAAAGATCATTAGTCAAGACCCTAAAAAAGTAGAAAATTCACTTACAAAACAAATTATTTTAAAATTATTTGATGGGGATTTATTTTTATCTAGGTCTGTATCCATGTTAATTTGTCTACAGAGAGAGGTAGTTAGCCATGTTAGTCTGAAGTCATTTAGAAGGCATGGCAGATATGTACCTTTAGGTTAGGTACAGACATTCAAAAATCCCAAGGTGGAATTGATCTAAGCTATGTGGTTTTCTGTAAGTGGCATAGTTAAAATCGGTAGCAAACAGAACGCACATTTGACCTCTGGTGGGGGGTAAAAAAGTCTTAGACCAGGTTCTTCCATTTTTAAATCAAACTTCTGTTCTGTTATAGACTAGTTTCCAATCATTTATACCAGTAAAAGTGTAATGTGTGAACCTGACCTTATAGACTAACCAAATTAGATATATAGAAGGCAAACAAGCCTTTGTGAACCAAAGATCACTTCAGATGACGTGAAATTCAGTTCCTGAAAGCTTGTGCACTCTCTTGCTCTCTCTCCATTTCTATATTTACACATACACACACACACATCTTATTTAGTCAATAGGTGCAATGTGTATACACACATGTACATACATAGATCCCTCTTCACTCTAGTATCTCAGCATTTCACTTCCACAGTACATTCTCACAGTATATTCTCCAGTTGAGGCAAGACAGCACTATTATCCCCATTTCATGGGGAACCAAGGCCCAGAAGGGAAGCTACTTTTATGGCTTAATACTACAATCAATACTATCTGCACTCAGGCTTTGTAGATGCTATGTCAACATATTAATAATGGTAATGATTAATATATTTTAAAGGCTGGAAGGGACATCACAAGATGATCAGGTCCAGCCCCCTACACCAGGCAGGAAAGACAACTGGGGGGTCAGGTGACCCCAGCAAGGTGATTGTTGAGTCTCCTCTTGAAGATTTCCAGGGAAGGTGACTGCACCACCTCTGAAGGGAGCCTATTCCATAGTCTGGACACCCTGGCTGTGAAGAAGTTTTTTCTAATGTTGAGCCTGAAACAGTCTTTCAGGAGTTTATGGCCATTACTCCTAGTTATCCCCATGGGTGCCCTGGTGAACAGTTGTTCACCAAGCCTTTGATGTATGCCCCTGATGTAGCTGTAAGCCACTATCACCTCCCCTATCAGCCTTCTCTTTCTCAGACTGGAGAGTCCCAGATCCCTCATCCTTTCCTCATATGGCTTGCCATGCAACTCTCTTATCCTTATGGGTGGCCTTTCTCTGGACTCTCTTGAGCTTTACCACATCCTTGTTGAAGTGTGCCACCCAGAACTGGATGCAGTACTCCAGCTGCAGTCTTACCAATGCTGAGTAGAGTGGAAGAATCACTTCCCTAGTTTTTCTGAAGATATATCAATTGATGCATGCCAGGGTATTATTTGCCTGGTTGGCTACAGCATCACACTGCTGGCTCATAGTCATACTGTGGTCTATTATTACCCCAGGTCCCTTTCATTTGTTGGGGGGGGGGGGGGGGGCGGGAGTTGTCCCCAGATGGAGCACTTTATATTTCTCAACACTGAACTTCATTTGATTCAAATCTGCCCAACTTGCCAGCCTGTCTAGGTCCACCTGTATCTGCAGCCTATCTTCAAGTGTGACCATGCTTCCCCATAACTTGGTGTCATCCATGAACTTGCCCACTGAGCTCTTCACCCCCACATCCAAATCATTGATAAAGATGTTGAAAAGCACTGGACCAAGCACTAACACCTGAGAGACACCACTGCCCACTTCTCACCAGGACAACACAGATCCGTTCATTAGAACTATCTGCATCTTACCCTGCAACCAGCTCCCTACCCACCTAGCTGTCTCACAGTTGAGTCCACAGTCTTCCAATTTACTCACGAGGACATCATGGGATTCTAGATCAAAGACCTTTTAGAAGTCAAGATATACAATGTCAACCTCCACTCCCTTATCCAGATGGTAAGTTACCTGATCATAAAAGGAGATGAGGTTGGTAAGACAAAACTTGGCCACAAGGAAGCTATGCTGGCTGTCATTCAGAATCCTACCTTCTGCAAGCTTATTGCAGATAGACTCCTTGATGAATTTTTCCAGGATTTTCCCTGGGATAGAAGTTAGGGTAACTGCCCTATAATTACCCAGGTCTTCCCTTCTTGCTTTCTGATAATGGGAATGTTGTTATTTGTGTGGAGGTGCCCAAATACCCAGATCAGAATTAGGACTCACTGCTTCTATCACTCTGTGAACACATAGGAAAACCTGATCCCCATCATTATGAGTTTACAGTGGTAGATCTATAATACAGTGCACATGCAGTCTGAGTGGACAAACTCACCATCCATTTTGGACTCCCTTTGGAAAGGCTCCATATATTCTTACCTGATTGCAGGAATGGGCTTAATTTAAAAGGCAAAATGATGAGTAAGAGAAGGCGAAAAGGAAGATACCAGTAATGATTACATATGTTGAATTAGTTCACAAGCAATGTCTATGTGGTTTTGAGTCATCTGATTAATCAATTATTGCCCATTTAGGTAATTTCAGAGTGCTTGCTTCTTATTTTGGCCATGAACTGCCAATCCTTCACATACTTTGTCATTGATTCCATATTTCTGCTCCTCTTCTTATCTGCCTGAACCTTTTGCCTATTTCAGATGAAAGATATCTATCAAATAGGCTTCAGTATTTATCCTCTTGTTTTTAAGCTCTCCAATGACATCACAGCAAACTTACCATTCATACCAACCCAGCTGTGCCAGCTTCTCCTGGATGTGAACAGGGTATTCTGAGAAAGTACTGACTGTTGACTTTAACGACAGCATGGCCTAATTGGGGACACAAAATAGTGATTGGGGAAAAGGGGTTAATGAGTTTTATTAACAAAAAAAAATCTAAACCAAGATAGCTGGGGAGGCTAGGAAGCAGTGACGGGAGTGTTTGTTTTCAGAGACGGAGCTGAAGCATGAAAATAGATGTTTTTTCCTTAGCAGCCAAGATCTCAGGAGTGATTTGCTCCTGTGAGAGATGCATATAAGCAGCTGAAGGTATTCACCACTTCACTGGGGCATTAAGCACTTCATTAAGATCTGACTTGAAAAGAGTAGAAAGAAGAAGGATTTAATGCCAAATTCACATCTATGCTAGCATTAGTACTGGTGCAGGGGTGAAAAGGGAACTTTCTTGTGCTCTTCAATGACAGAAGAGGCTGGTAGGACTGTGATATAGATTAGGGCAGCCAGTAACCACTGAAGTACAAAACCACTCCAGCTAAGCCCTCTTCTACCTCCAAGCCCCCACCTACACATTACAGGTATTGAGCAATTAACTGTTTGGTTGTACAATTACCTGGAGACAAACTACAGGTGTAAAGTAGCTTGTCTTTATATATAGATACAGAGAGAGAGTTATACATATTTTCAAAGTCTAACTTTTTAGCTGGTTGGAGCTTTATATATATATATATTATATATAGCTCCGACCAGCTAAAAAGTTAGACCTTGAAAATATGTATTAATTTTATAGCTGGTTTCTATCAAGCTTTAATTTTCATGTGTAGTAGGGTCTCCCTCCAGCTGGGAACCTAGTCAGCTAACAGGGCTCACAACTGCAGGACTACACAAAGCCCAGTGAAAACACCCTGGGCCCTGGGGACTGCAGCTTCCATGATTTCTAGAGCTCATGGGTGTGTGAAACCCTCAGGCCCTGGGAACTGTGGCTGCTGTGATCCCTAGGGCTTGTGGAGGTGCAAAGCCCCCGGGGCCTGGGGATCATGGCTGTCATGATCCCTAAGGCTCCAGGATGCAGGAAACCCCCAGGGCTGGAGAATCAGTGCAGCTGGGGCCTGTGGGGTTCCTAGCTGCAGGAGCTTGCTTTTTGCCAATGTAAAGGGAGAAGATCCTGAGCTTCCCCTGCACCAGAAGCAAGGGGTGATGGGATCTAATCCACAATCCCACACTCACGCTTCCAGCCATGCACATGTGGCATGGATTGTGTGAATTGCACAGATCTCTCTTTGGAAATCAATCCCCATTCCAGTATCTCAAGGTAGGCTTCCTTAAACTGAGTCCCTGAAAATTACATAGCCACTTTAGTAAATCTTGGCCAAATCAATGATTCTTAAACTTTTGTACAACAAGTTTCCTCTTTTCCTAGGATCTCTTTGATCTTCTAAACAGATGCTCTCTCCAGCCTCTTTTCGTTTACCAGTAAGAGGAGTAATTATGACCTTCAGGATTACAATCTAGGGACTATATCATGCATGGTGCTGAGCATTCGAGGTATTCTACACCTTAACCTCCCACTGAAGTCAATAAGAGTTGAGGTAGCAAAGGTATCCTTAAAGCTGCTTAGCACCACACAGCAGGTAATGCAAATCAGAGCACTGTCCAGGATGTCACCATTGCTCAGTTGTCTGTTTCCTCCTAGGGTTTAATTCTAGGACCCAGAGATATGCTTCAGAAGAATGCAGGTGCTAGCACATCTTGGCCAGATTCCAACTCGGGTAATTACATTTTGTCACTTTGGATTCCCCCTGCAACTGATCTTAATAGCCACAATGTGACGTGGGTCCATAGATAGTTCTGAAAATAAGCAGGTATGTTACTATATTATTTAAGCCTACAAATACTAGAATTAAAACCTGGGTATACACCTGCTCAAGAATAAGCAGACATTGATGAAAGAATTAAAAAGAAAAGAACAAATCAGGTTAACAGAGCTGGTGGAGAAAAAATTATATCCTTTCAGTGTTTCCCTTGCTGAAAACAGAAAATCTCTACAAACAACACAGGAAAAGCTCTGAACCTTGGAAGAGAACTGCTTTCCTAGAGATTGTACGTCAGATGTCAGAGCTCCTATGACAACAATAATTCACAGATATCTTAGAGATTTTAAAGTAGTAGTAATAATTATCACAGCGGGCGCGTCTACAAGCAATGCGCTACGGCAATGTCACAAATCCTTTTGCTGTAGTAATGCACTCCCTTGTTATAGTGCATTTCTATAGCAATGTAGCAGCTCAAAATAACTGCACCATGTGCACATCACAGTATGGGCTGTCATTTAGTACTTCCAAAAGGAAGTACTAAGTGATGGTGCAGTAACAAAGCTGCTTTGGGGGCACATGTAGATGCACCCACTATAAGTTAAAGTTACCACTTTACTTTTTTTTCTTAATGAACACACTTAAGTTAGTGAAGAAACCCATATTCTGGGGGGAAAGAGGCCTCTATTTGCATTCAGGCATGTCTGACAGAAAGATGGCAAAATAAAACAAGAAACACTTTTTATCCTATAGACTACCTATGTTACACATGCCAAACTGACAGTTCTATATTGGTGTGGAATGAATACTGTGCTTCATGAATAAAAACCGAGTGAGAATAATCTTGTTTGAGTACAAATCTCTGATTGCCTCCAAACAAATGGAAAGCTTGAAGTTAAATATACAGAGAATGTGAGTTATTTCCAAACATCTATGTTTGATCTGAATGGAGTAAGTCTGCTGAGACAGCTGCTTCTAGTCTGCTTTCTGCCAATTATATTTTCAAACTCTTTATTTTTCCCTTAAGGTTTTCACCAGAGAGCTTATTACTAAATTGGTACCCCTGAGAGCTGAAGAACCCCTAAACCTCCAAATGTTTAAGTCCAAGTTTGAGCACTGGGAGAAATCCTCACCTGTATAAACTGGGGTAATTCTACTGAAGTCAAAGGAGCTCCGACAATTTTGCAACAGCTAAAGAATTGGCTCTGTGGTTGGGCCTTTATATAAACGTACATACGGATCAATAGCTTGAAGATCAGGGGTCCATTTGAGTTGCATAAAGTCACAGAAAAATAGGACATGGAGAGACCTTAGGAGGCCATCTAATTCAACCTTCTGTGGAATTTCAAGCTATTTCAGAGATTTCAAGACTGTTATCAAATCCCCCCTCAGTCTTGTCCAAATTAAATAAACCCAATTCTTCTCATCTTTCCTTGTTTCTTAGACCTCTAACCATTTTTGTTGATCCCTACTGAACTCTTTCCAAATTGTCCACATCTTTTTGAAGCGTCATTCCCAAAATTGGACGCAGTAACCCAGCTCAGGTCTCATTGGTGCTAAATAGAGTGGATGAATCACTCCTCTTCACTTGCAGGCCACACTCCTGTTAATACAGTCTACTATGCTATTGGCTTGTTGTTGTTGTTGGGTTTTTGGGGTTTTTTTGTAATGGGAGCACACTGTTGACTCTCAATCATTTAACAGTCCACTACAATCCCCCAGTCTTTTTGGCAGTACTGCAGCCTAGTCAATCATTCCCTAGAGGGTATTTGTGCATTTGGTTATTCAATACTAAATTCATACAACTCTCTTTCCTTAAATCATACCAGTTTGATGCCTTCTGATTTTCGGTTTTCTGGAGGCCCTGAGAGAATGACTCGTGCCTCACTGCTGATAGTTGTCTGTGAAGAAGAGGAAAGAGCCCGTCAGCAACCTACAGGGACTGATCAGCCCGTTCATTGCAATGCACTGAGAGCCAATGAAGGATATAATTTAAGAGGAATAAAAACAACAGATTAGATCACTTTGTGAGCATCATGAAAGTCTGTAGCCATATGAGCTAGCTCAGAAATCAGTCTTTGTGCTTCATGGAATAAGCCAGCTGCTTCTTAGAGCTGAGAGAGAAATTTTCTCCCTATGATAAGACATAGCACTGTTTCAGCATGTAGGCATGATGATAGGGTGTGGGATGGAATGTGTCTTCCTCAGATGTATCAAGTATTGAGCACTGATCAAGGGTCAATATCAGTCAAAGGTCCTGGGCACCCAATATGTTTACAGTGGTATAATTTACATCAGACATATACACGGATATAAATTATGCCAGAATCTAGAATGCGCAGAAGACCAGCGTCCTGCATCTAGTACTATAACATCTCGCCAGTAGGCGGTGGGTGAGCTTTTAAGAACCAGTTTGCTCTGACCAAGTGGCTATCCCAGGTTAAGCTGCAGACATACAGCACCTACACTGGTATAGCGTGCACTAGTATAGTTTTATACCAATTTTTTCTCAAAGAAGTGCTCACAGAATGTACGTAAGTTAGGCTGAATGTCTGCTACGTTTTTAACACCAGTGTACAGGGCCTATGTCTTAGCTTTCAAAGGTGCCTTAAAGAGTCAGATTAGTTGTTCTCAACTTTTTTAGGCTCCAGGCACCCTTCATTAGACTCCAGACACTCCTCAGCAAATGCCAACTCCTAGTTTTTACTCATGGTTTGATTATGTCACAACCCAAAGTTGTGATTTTCTTGTTTGTGTGTGCTTCGGCATCGCTAAATCATGTTCCCACCAAATTACAGCTCTTTTGCACGGTGGAGTGTTCTGTTGCAATTAAGAACCCGCGTGCAGGAGTTTTTCCCGCCAGTTCTGTAGCTTTCTTTGCATAGTGCATTCCTTTTGCATTATAGTGATGCACGATGCAAAGGAGTTCCTGCCATTTGTATTTAGATTCGTGCCACATTATTGGCCGGTTCTAAATGTAGGCATACGTGGCAGCTAGCTATTGGCTTGCTAGCTGTACAAAAGGCTTGGGTAGTTTCCGCCCAAGTCGGAGAGAGAGAAAGCACGTGGAGTTCGGGAAAGGAGCGTGAGGATTTCTAAGCGCTGCTGATCCTTTCGAACCCAGCTTTTTCCTTAAGAGGGCAACAGAGGTTTAATTTGTCGAACCCACGGAGCTTCAACAACTCCGGGGGACCTATTTACCGAACCCTCGGATCCTTAACAACTCCGAGGCACATAACCTCTAGCCTCTCCCCGTCGCCGATCGCAGTCCAGACGTATCCCTATCCTAAGGACCCAATTGTCGAACCCACGGAGTCTTAACAGCTCCGGGGGGACCTGGGAACTGAGTAACCCACGGAGATACAGCTGCTCCGTGAGAACGAATTATTGAACCCGCGGAGCCTAAGCCACTCTGGGGTCAAGGAACCGAGTCTATTAGAGTCCTCCACCGAGAACTCAAGCGGAGCCGTGCCTGGAAAGCTGACCAGTCTACAACGCGACCACCTTGGGTGTAAGTAAATAATCTTTTCAATCAACCATTACGCCTCCGTGACTGATTCTAGCTCGAGCGTACCATACCGCGCCGCGGTTTTCTCCAGCCCCGCGTGCCCGGGCTGCTGGTCACAGCCTGTGTGCGCAAAGACGGGCCCGGCTCGCCCCCGGCTCACACATGGCGACCCAGGCAGGATTGGGAGAGGGCCCGCACAGATTACAGAAAAATAACACTGCAATTCTTCTGTCAGAAACAATTTAGAAACACTCAACCAGTCAGAATGTTTTTAACATTATCCATTCCTGTTTGAAAGCTCAAGGTTTAACTTGTGAATCATATTTGCACACCTACCAGTGCTAATATTGCGTGGCACCCTGTGGCACCCTTGAAAGGACCTCAATGCACCCTAGGGTGCTGTGGCACCTTGGCTGAGAATCACTAAATTAGATGTTCAACTCTCATTGAGATTTTGGTGCTTAGCTCCCTTAGTCCCTCTGAAAAAACATCTCATCCTAAAAGGATAGCCAGGAAGAACCAGGGAGGACTCAGAGTGTCAAGCATATAAGATTTTAATGGATGAGAATCTGCCAATGGATATTCTGCAATAATCCAAGAACTCCTTTCTAATATTATTAAGAGTTCCTTCCTTCAATAATTGTGTAATTATTAACTGATATATCATTTGAGTACACCTTCTGAAATACCAGATATATTTGGCTTTTTAAGCTTTGAAATTACACCAATGACGAAGGAGTTATTTAGCAATTTCTTTCATATGCATTTTATCTTTTGGGTGGTGGGGGGGTGGAGAGAGCTCATTTTCAAGGTACATTCATGATGAGTGTTGATCTTTATTTGTATCTGTGTTGCTGAATTTACAACCAGAACCAACTCCCATTGAAAGCAATGGCAAAAGCTTCATTGAAATGACCCATTAAAATTCACCAGATGCCAAACTCCTAGGCTATCTTGAAAATCCTAGCCCTATAGACTATTATCCATCCTCAATCTGGGTCTAGTCCTTTAAGTGGCTAAACACACTTAGTGCCCTCCAAACCTATGCAGATACTAGGAGCTTACAGGCTTGGGGAGTCTCTTTTATTTTAGCATGTCCTTCAGCTGTTACACACTCTCAGCATTATCAGTGATATTCCAGTCTTTCCCAGTGCCTCAAGTAATACACCTGCATTGTTGTTTCTTGGAGGTATCATCAAACTAATATGCAAGCACTTTTGTTGGCTTCCTAATGTAAAATGTCATATCCCTGGCAGATAATGCACAAACGCTTCCTGTTTGAAGTGCTGGCAAAGAATTCATGAATGATAAATTAAGATTTTTTTCCAGGTTCCCCAAATCTGTGACTAAGTGATGGCATATTTGCAAAATTTAGAGGGAGATCAGAAACATGGCACTGTATCTGAGGTTCATTTGTAGAAGGTAAAGTAGCATATGTTATGAGTCAGTTAATCTCTTTAGGGCTTTATCCAGCACAAATTAGGTTCTGTGGTCACTGAGTCACAGCAGGCTGTGGGCTGCTGCAGCCTTGGAGCTTTGTCACGATTCAGCTGCCAAGAAATGAACTGCTCCATGGGCACGAAAATTGGCTTAAGCTGTGCGAGTTCCAGACACACATGCACTGATCCAACAGCTCTTCCTCCCTCTGTAGCAAGCACACTTCAGTGTGATTGCTTTCTTATTGACTCTCCAATGGACATGATTTTAAGAGGGTGCAGTTGAAAGCAATCGACTGTGTTAATGCAGTCTTAGAGAATTAGTAAAGACAGTTAGAAAAAGTCTTTTAGTAGAAATGATGGGAAATATTTCATGAAACATTTAAAGCCAGTCAGAGGAGAGTACTAGAATTCACAGTTGTACACAGCGGGTTCTGCATGTCGCCTTAGTGCAGTGACTGAATTTTTGTTGTATTGTATTTGAACAGCTCAGTGGTAAGAGTAGTGAAAATGTGAATATTTGGGGTGGAAAGGACAGGACAGACGTGTTTATAGAAGAATTCCAGGTGCAGAATAGTAAAGATAAAAGCAAGGCAATGGTTGTTGCCAAAAATGGTACCCCATAGACAGAACAATTACATCAAGCAGTAAAATCTTCACTGTAGTTGAATTTAAATACCTTGACTCAGTGATCATTAGTGACAAAAAGACTGGAAAAGAATTGACAAGAAGGTTGCAGCTTGCAGGGAACTTTTAACTAATTGTTAAAGAGTTAGTCTGAGACAGAAACATCCCCAGGGAAGCAAAGCTGGCAATGTACAGAGCTTATTACATCCTGATTGCATGGAAGGTGCAGAGACTCAAGTTCCAAGGAAGGGGGATTTCAGCTGGTTACAGACTATATAAATGAGTTTTCTAAGGGCAACTGTTGGGAAATTGAAAAGAGTCTGAACGAGGAATGTCTGACTAAAAAGAATGCAAAATCAGGGGAGCTGGAAGATACAAGTAGAAAGACGATGCCTGCTCTGGTTTGGCCACATGACACTGCTGCACAGGGACACGACAATGGATGCTGAACATGCAATAGGAAGGCAAGAGGCCAAAAAGAAGACCACAGAGAAGATGGGATGGCAACGTGCAGAAGGAAATGATTACAAGAAGGGAATCCTGAGAGGAAATCATGGAAGAAAAGTAGTAGGGAGTTAGAATGAGAGGGATTGGAATTAATATATTACCAGACCCAGCAAGGTGCTGCAATTGTTGATTTATGATGCTGATGGTAATGGGAAAGAGGAATGCACTGAGTCTGAGATTTGCAAAGCAGTCAAAGAGAGTTGGAAGATACAGTTCCCATTAAAAATAATTTCTCACATGGCTTTGAAAAATCTCAGTCTAAATTATTCACTAGAGGCAGAGCATGTAGTATGGACATTCTCTGCCTCTAGCAAGTGGACATGGGTGCCAGGGTGCACTCAGGGTTTCATGGGTGCCAGGAATCCTGGTCCTGTTCCCAGCTTTGTTGTCAATTAAGTTTGGAATTTACATCCCCTTGTGAAATGGAGATGCTATTTGCCTCCCTCACAAGGGTGGTGTCAGGGTTAGTTCAATACTTACTCTTTGTGCAAAACGCTATGAAAATATAAAAGGCTATTTATTATCACTGTTAATATTAATAATTAAAACATATCCCTTGGTCATTTCCATTTCTAATTTCTGTGATTCTTTGAAGTGCTCTCTTATTAAGGCAAGATTGTCTGGCAGGATAAAGTATAAAACACAGGGTATGTGCCCACATGTGACACACTTGAAACCAATGTACAAGACATATTAACTGTATATTGATAATGATAAGCTCTTGTCATAGCTATTTTACAGTAACTGTGACTTTGCCAGGAAGATTTCTCAGATGAAGGCTATCAATTAACTGAGCAAAGTACACCCTGCTGCAAAGACACTA